GGTAGACCCTCCTCCCTTGCTTGCGCCAGTTGAGGTCACTGGTGACTCAGGTCCTGCTCGGGGTGCTCCTTCTGAAGGTGCTGAGCCTGGGGGTGCTGAGCCTAGGGATGCGGAGCCTTGGGGTGCTGAGCCTGAGGGTGCGGAGCCTGGGGGTGCGGAGACTGGATGTGTAGAGCCTGGGCATGAGGAGTCTGGGGGTGCTGAGCTTGGGGGTACTGAGTCTGGGGGTGCTGCACCTGGGGGCGCTGAGGCGTCTGGTGAGCAGTCTCCCTGGGGCGGCCGTCTCCGTAGTCGCTCCGCTGGTACCTCGCCGCTGCACTCTCGACGTCGACTCCCTCTCTCCCCACAGCAGCTGCGTGAGTGGTACGCTGACCGTTAGGGTCGCACTGCTGGAGCTAGGGGCCATGCTGCGGGAGGCGCTGGAGCTGGTGACTCTGCTACTGGAGTTGTTTCAACTGAAGGTTCTGGAGCTGCTGAGGGTGCTGGAGCTGGAGGCTCTGGGGCTGCTGATGGTGCTGGCGCTGGAGGTTCTGGAGCTGCTGCGGGTGCTGGCGCTTGTCAGAATCCCAACCACTAGACCATTGGGATAAAAGGGCTTGTTTCAGTAGCGGGTCAGTGCGCCTATAACCCCCCAGGCGAACGCGCCTGTAACCCTCTCCAGGATCAATCGGGCATCCACAGTGCAGATCTACTGACAGCGCTAGAGGTTCTGGAGCTGCTGCGGGTGCTGGCGCTGAGGGTTTTGAGTCTGCTGTTGTGCGGTCTCCTTGGAGTAGCCGCCTTCGTCCGCGTGTGCCTCTCACCTCCCAGCAGCTGCACGACTGGTACGGTCGCCGTCAGGGTCGCGCTTCTGGAGCTCGAGGCTCTACCGCTAGAGGTACTTCTGCTGGCGTCACTGGAGCTAGGAGTGGTGCTGGTTCTGGAGGTGCTGCTGTTGGAGACACTAAGGCTCGAGTCCCTGGGACTGGAGGTGCCGGTGCTGAGGGTGCTGCTGCTGGTGGAGCTGGTCCTGGAGGAGCTGACGCTGAGGGTGCTGGAGCTGCTGGGGGTACTGGAGCTGCTGGTGCTGGTGGCAGTGCACAGCCGCGCCTGTTCTTTGCTCCTCCGTCTCCGTCGTCTCAGCCACCGCCTGACTCTGTGCTTCGCCAGGTTCTTAGACTCCCTTCGTCTACTGGTCTTCCGTTACAGCCTGACTCACCACTGCCTGCTCCTTCTCCTTACACTGAGCGGACAGGGGGTCTTACTGAGCGTCGTGAGCTAGCGTCGCGTCCTGTCTTGCCTGTCAGTCCTGGTCGTTCCGGTCGTCGTGTTCCTCGTTCGCGTCTGCCGGCTGTCTCCGACACCCACCTCGTCGTCCGTCGTCCTTCCTCTCCTCCACAGCGTGTTCCCCTGCCGTCCCCTCCTGCAGCTTCTCTGCCTACCATTTCTGAGCCTAAGTCTGACTGTACCCGTGCTGCTCACTCTACTGTCATGCGTCTGCTAGCCATAGTTGTCACTGACCCATCATTTGAGTCTGCTGCTGCCTCTGCCTTTGTCGCTGAGCTTGTTGACTTTGCTGCTGCCTGTCGTCTAGACTACGCCGCTAGTCTTGTTGCTGAGTCTGATTCTGTCTGTCCTCCGTCCGTCGGGGGTGGGTGTGCTCTTGGCACGGACGTCCTTGAGGACAGGCAGGAGGACCTCGAGTGTCTTGCAGCCGCTGCGCCTCATCTCGTATCTATGCTGCTTGCCCCTTAGGGAGACCCGAATGCTCCAGACATCCCGACCCCACGCTCTTACGCTGAGGCGATCGCGGGTGAGTACTCCTGTCAGTGGCAGACAGCCATGGACGCAGAGATGGCATCCTGGAAGTCCACAGGCGCTTGCGTCGACGAGGTTCCCCCTCCTGGGGCGAACATCGTCAGTGGCATGTGGATTTTCAGGGTGAAGCGGCCGCCAGGTTCTCCGCCTGTCTTCAAGGCTCGTTACGTGGCTCGAGGTTTCAGTCAGCGAGAGGGAGTAGACTTCTTTCAGACCTTCTCCCCCACCCCAAAGATGACCACTCTTCGGGTACTGCTGCACGTTGCCGCTCAGCGTGACTACGAGCTTCACTCTCTTGACTTCAGCATAGCTTCTTGCAGGGCAGTCTGCACGAGGAGATCTGGCTGCGCCGCCCTCCTGGCTTCAATGGGTCGTTCCCTCCTGGTACCCAGTGGAGCCTCCGGCGGCCGGTCTACGGTCTCCGCCAGGCGCCATGTGAGTGGCACGACACACTGAGGACTACATTTTCTGCTCTTGGGTTTGCTCTGTCGACTGCTGACCCATCGCTGTTTCTGCGCATCGACACTTCGTTACCGCCGTTCTACATCCTCGTATACGTCGACGACTTGGTCTTTGCCACTGCTGACACTGAGGCTCTCGCTCTGGTGAATTCGGAGCTGCAGAAGAGACACACGTGCACAGACGTGGGTGAGCTGCGCAGTTACCTAGGTTTGTAGATCACCCGGGACAGAGCACGCCGCACCATCACACTGACTCAGTCACACATGGTGCAGCAGGTCCTTCAGCGCTTCGGCTTCACCTGGTCCTCGGCACAGGCCACTCCTTTGGCTACAAGTCACTCGCTCTCAGCTCCACCTTCGGACGAGTCCGTAGAGCCGACTGGTCCTTACCCAGAGCTAGTGGGCTGCCTCATGTACCTGATGACCTACACTCGTCCTGACCTTGCGTACACTCTTGGCCTTCTGGCTCGCTACGTGGCTCCTGGTCGGCACCGAAAGGCGCACATGGATGCTGCTAAGAGGGTACTACGCTACTTGTGCAGTACATCGGGCATGGGGCTCGTGCTTGGAGGGCGGAGCGCAGTTGTCCTCACTGGGCACTTAGACGCTTCTTGGGTTGACGACCAGGCTACGCAGCGGTCGTCACAGGGTTACACCTTCAGCCTTGGCTCTGGCTCTGTTTCTTAGTGTTCTACACGCTCGTCTTCAGTTCTCAGCTTCAGTTGTGAGGCTGAAATCTACGCCACAGCCATGGCTGCACAGGAGTTACGCTGGCTCACCTACCTGCTGACCGACCTGGGAGAGCGGCCTCGTTCTCCTCCAGTGCTGTACGTCGACAACAAGGCCGCCATTGCCTTGTGTGAGGAGCACAGAACGAAGCACATTGGTCTGCGTTACTTCCTAGCTCGAGAGTTGCAGCAGCGGGGTCAGCTTCGTCTTGCTCACGTGGCCACTTTGGCCAACACTGCTGATATATTCACCAAGGCGCTTCCGTCTGGTGCTCATCAGCGCTTTTGTATTTTGTTGGGCCTTGTGCCTACGTTTCCACACTTGCTGTAGACTCTGCTTGTACTGTGATCTATATATATAAACATATATATATATATATATATACAGCTGCATGCTTGCTCTTGCTAGGTAGTGATCACTGTGCTATTGCTGCATATACATCTCTGCATGTGAACTGGCCTTGTAGCCTCTTGTTTGTGCTCAGTGTGTGTCGTGACTTTGTGATCCACCCTGAGCTGTGTTTTGTTTCTTCTGTTGACTGGTTTTGTGATCTTTGCTTGCTCTGGCTATCCCCCATTTTGCCTATGGGGGTGTGTCAAGTTATATTTATATGTTATGTTTAGGTTGTCTTGTCTAGGCTATATGGGGGTTAGCACTAGGGGGTACAATATTTCTCTAGACCTTCTTCTTGTACCCCCCCTTGACCTACTCAATCACACAACTTCATGCCTAAGATTATACCGTATTACCCTAGATAAAAGTGTCAGAACATATATATAGCTTATACTATTGTGTAGGCTCTAGTGGGGTATCCCATAGGGGGTACAACCCAGTTAGGGTTTCCTATTTGTACTCACTTCATTCATAGTTCATTCATTCTTGTTCTATTCTCAACATGGTATCGAGCAGGTTCCCCCGTGGGAACTGTGCTTAGGGCCCACCACCTTTTAAACTTTTTTTCTGCCCGGAGCGCGCTCCGGGCCCTCGCTTTCACCTTTTTTTTCGGCCTGCCCTGCGGCCCCTAGCCACCCGCGCGCGCCCGTTCAGGCCCCTAGCCGCCCACGCGCCGCCCGTCCCGGCCCCTAGCCGCCCACGCGCCGCCCGTTCAGGCCCCTAGCCGCCCGCGCGCGCCCGTTCAGGCCCCTAGCCGCCCACGCGCCGCCCGTCCCGGCCCCTAGCCGCCCACGCGCCGCCCGTTCAGGCCCTTAGCCGCCCGCGCGCGCCCGTTCAGGCCCCTAGCCGCCCACGCGCCGCCCGTCCCGGCCCTTAGCCGCCCGCGCGCCGCCTGTCCCGGCCCCTAGCCGCCCGCTGGCCGCCCGTCCCGGCCCCTTGACGCCCGCGCGCCGTCGTCCCGGCCCCTAGCCGCCCGCTGGCCGCCCGTCCCGGCCTCTCGACGCCCGCGCGCCGCCCGTCCCGGCCCCTGATCGCCCGCGCGCCGCCCGTCCCGGCCCCTAGCCGCCCGCTGGCCGCCCGTCCCGGCCCCTCGGCGCCCGCGCGCCGCCCGTCCCGGCCCCTAGCCGCCTGCTGGCCGCCCGTCCCGGCCCCTAGCCGCCCGCTGGCCGCCCGTCCCGGCCCCTCGACGCCAGCGCGCCGCCGTCCCGGCCCCTAACCGCCCGCTAGCCGCCTGTCCCGGCCCCTCGACGCCCGCGCGCCGCCGCCCCGGCCCCTAGCCGCCCGCTGGCCGCCCGTCCCGGCCTCTCGACGCCCGCGCGCCGCCCGTCCCGGCCCCTGATCGCCCGCGCGCCGCCCATCCCGGCCCCGGGCCGCCCTGTGTCGCTGACTGCCCGAGCCGCCCGAGCCGCCCGCGCCGCCCGAGCCGCCCGAGCCGCCCGAGCCGCCCGAGCCGCCCTCGCCGCCCGAGCCGCCCGAGTCGCCTGCACCGCCTGAGGAGCCGAGCCGCTGGTCCTGCGGAGCTTCTGTTGCTGCTGAGCCGGTTGAGCTGCTGTGTTGCTGTACTGCTGTGCTACTGCGCTGCCCGACCCGTCCTGTCTGGTGAGACCTTCTACTGCTGTCATGGCTACCCCTAGTGTCCTAGCTTTTGACGCTGAGGGTCGCGCCATTGACTTTGAGGTCTGGGTCGACGACCTGCAGCTGTTCTTACAGTGCGACAGAGCAGACGGCCTTTCTCTCTTTGACCTCACTTCTGGCGCCTCTCCTGCCCCTGCTGCTGATGCTGATCCCACTGTGCGCTCTCAGTGGGCCACCCGCGATGCTGCTGCACGTCTTGCTGTGCGTCGCCACCTCCCTACCTCTGAGCGCGCGCACTTTAGTCAGTACAAGAGTGCTTAGACCTTGTACGACGCTGTAGTTGCGCGCTACTCCTCCCCTGCCACTGCTGCACTGAGCCGTCTCATGCTTCCCTACCTCTTTCCTGACCTCTCTGCCTTTCCCACTGTCGCTGACCTCATTACGCACCTCCGCACTAGTGACACTCGCTACCGCGCCGCCCTTCCTGCTGAGTTCTGCGCCAAGAACCCCCCCCCATGTACATCACTCTCTACTACGTCGTCGCGCGCCTCCCTGACTCTCTTCGCGTAGTCAGGGACCACTTTCTCGCAGTCTGTCCCACCACCCTCACCGTCGATATCCTCGAGAAGGCCCTCCTCGCGGCGGAGAAGAGCATCGTCGCTGTAGGAGCTTCTCGTGGTGACCCTCGCACCCCCATCTTTGAGGGGTGCTCTCCTTCCCCCCTCCTGCCCTCTGTTGCCTCTGCTGCTGCTGCCGACCTGCTTGGTCTTGAGTCGGTTGGCGCGGCGTCTGCCCCTAGTGGGAGACGCCGCTCTGGTAAGGGCAAGGGGGGCAAGGGCACGGGTGGAGCTGGAGGGGGCGGTGGAGGTGGCGGTGGAGGCGGCGGAGGGAGTGGGGGTGGCGGCGGGAGTGGCGGAGGGGGTGGTGGTGGTAGTGGCGGCAGCGGCGGAGGAGGCGGCGGTGGTGGCGGCAACGGTGGTGGTGGCGGCAGCGGTGGCGGTGACGGTGGGGGAGGCGGCGGCGGAGGAGGCGGTGGTGGCGGAGGAGGTGGAGCTGGTTGGGGCACTACCCAGCAGCGGAGCGGCGGTGGTGGTGGTCAGCGCTCGCAGCAGCAGCAGCAGCAGCAGCGTTCCCGCGACATCCCTCCGCCCCAGCAGCTCCGTGAGTGGTACACTCGACGTCAGAGGGGTGGGGGTACTGGTCCTTGTACCTACGTCCTTCGCTCTGGCGACCGCGCGGGTGAGCGGTGTGGGGGTGCCCACCCCGCCCAGCGCTGCTTTGGCCGCCTGACGGACGCTTGGCGTCAGCAGTTCCCCGGAGCTAGTGAGATCCCTCGCTGGGATGAGCTTCTTAGGGCTGGTGTAGCGATCTTTGATCTTGATTTTGATGCTATCCTTGCTGCTGTGTATGCTGTGACTACTAGTGAGGAGGGTGACTGTTACTGGTGTTTCCCGCCCGACCCGGGCATTGGTACTGCTGCGCTAGGTGCTTGTGAGGCTGCTGCTCTAGGTGCCAGTGCATCTGCGCTCTCAGGTGCTGGTGAGACTGCGCTCTCAGGTACTGCGTCGCCTTCGTCCTCCCTCACTTTCACACTTGACTCCGGGGCTTCTCGCTCCTTCTTTCGAGACCGCACCACCCTCACGCCGCTTGGCCGGCCGGTTGCGGTCTCCCTGGCTGACCCCTCTGGGGGTCCTGTCCTCTCTCACTTCTCCACTGTCCTCCCGTGTCCGGCTGCCCCCTCGGGCACCCTGTTTGGTCTGTACCTTCCCTCGTTCTCGACGAACTTGGTGAGTGGTGCGGACCTACAGGATGCACGCACAGGCCGGCACCTGGCCACGTTCTCGCGTCAGCCGGGGTCGAGCCTCTACACCCTGACCACTACGTCTCCTCCTGTCCCTGCGTCTGGTCAGGTAGCTGCGTCAGGTCAGGTGTTTGCTGCTGCGTCCCGGTCAGGTCCTGAGTCTGCCCCCTGTTCGTGTCGCCTCCTGTCTCACGAGACCCTCCTGTGGCACCACCGTCTGGGCCACCCCTCCTTGCCCCGTCTTCGGAGCATGGCTTCCCGTGTCCTTGTCTCTGGTCTTCCCCAGTCTCTCCCTCCCCTTCCTTCCGGGCCAGGACCTTCCTGTGTCCCCTGTGTCGAGGGGCGCCTCCGGGCTGCTCCTCACTCCTCCCAGTTCCCCCCGACAGAGGCTCCTCTGCAGACACTTCACATGGACGTGTGGGGCCCAGCCCCCGTCCGTGGGCAGGGTCACGAGCGCTACTTCCTGTTGGTGGTTGACGACTACTCGCGTTACACCACAGTCCTCCCCTTGCGCAGCAAGGGTGCTGTCACGGAGGTGCTGATCGACTGGATCCGCGAGGCTCGTCTCCAGCTCAGGAGGAGCTTCGGCTCGGACTTTCCTGTTCTGCGTCTGCACTCGGACAGAGGCGGGGAGTTCTCCTCTCGCCTTCTGCGAGACTACTGTCGTGCACGGGGGATCCGCCAGACCTTCACGCTTCCAGACTCTCCACAGCAAAATGGGATTGCTGAGCGCCGCATTGGCATGGTCATGGATGTCGCTCGTACGTCCATGATGCATGCGGCTGCCCCCCATTTTCTGTGGCCGTTTGCGGTGAGGTACGCGGCGCATCAGCTCAACCTTCACCCCAGGGTCTCTCGGCCCGCGATGTCCCCAGTGTTACTGTGGACGGGGAAGGTCGGCGATGCGTCTGCGTTCCGTGTCTGGGGATCTCGGGCGTTTGTCCGCGACTTGTCTGCGGACAAGCTGTCCCCTCGTGCTGCTCCCTGTGTCTTCCTTGGCTTCCCCCCTGACGCTCCAGGGTGGCAGTTCTACCACCCCTCCTCTCGTCGTGTTCTGTCCTCCCAGGACGTCACGTTCGACGAGACAGTCCCCTTCTACCGCCTCTTCCCCTACCGCACTCCTTCCCTTCCCCCGCCACCGGACTTCCTTGTGCCGGTTCCCCCCCCGGTAGACCCCCCCCCCCCCTCAGGTTCCTGCCCCCTCAGGTGTGTCCCAGGTAGACGCAGTTGACCCGGTCGAGGTTACTGGTGACTCTGGTGCTGCTGCGGGTGTTGAGCCTGGGGGTGCTGACTCTGGGGGTGCTGTGCGCGGGGGTGCCGAGCCTGGGGGTGCTACTGCGGAGGGTGCTGAGCCTGGGGGTGCTGACTCTGGGGGTGCTGTGCGCAGGGGTGCCGAGCCTAGGGGTGCTACTGCGGAGGGTGCTGAGCCTGGAAGTGCTGAGCCGGGGGGTGCTGTGCCTGGAGCTGCTGAGCTAGGGGGTGCTGCGTCTGGAGCTACTGAGCCTGGGGGTGCTGCGTCTGGAGCTGCTGAGCCTGGAGTTTCTTCTGGTGCTGCGTCTCGGCGCGAGCCCCTCTCTCCACAGGAGCTGCGCGAGTGGTTTGCTCGCCGCTGGAGGCGTGCTGCTGGAGCTGGAGCTTCTTCGACCGTCGAGGGTGCTGGTGCCACCGGTCCCGAAGCTGCTGGGCCTGCGGGTCCTACTGGAGCTGGGGCTGCTGAGGGTGTTGGTGCTGAGACTACTGCTGTCTGTCCTCGCGGTGGTTCTGCTGCTGGTGCTGCTGGAGGTCCTGCCGCTGGAGGTGTTGGTGGCGCTGGTGCTGCCGCTGAGGGTGCTGGTGCTGTCCCTGCTGAGTCTGGAGCTGCCGCGCGGCCTCGGCCGTACTTCGTTCCGCCCCTGCAGCAGGTTCTTGGTCTTTCTCCTCCGGTAGAGTGTCCACAGCCTGTCCAGTCGCAGTCACTGTTGGAGCCTTCCTCCCCTCTACCTGCTCCCTCTCCTTACACTGGTCTTACTGGAGGTCTTGCTGAGCGTCGTGAGCCTGCGTCTCGTCCCGCGTTGCCTGTTCGTGCTGCTCGCGCTAGTGGTCGCGGTTCGCGTCAGCGTCCTCCTCCTATCCCTGGCACGCACCGGATGTCTCTGCGTCCGTCCACTACTCCTCTGCGTGCCCCTTTGCCTTCTCCTCCTGAGTCCTCTCTTCCTGCTCTTGCTGACCCTGAGTCGGACTCCCTTCGTGCTGCCAGTCCTACTGTCACGCGTCTGCTTGCCACTGTCGTCACTGACCCCTCGTTTGAGTCCACTGTTGCGTCTGCTCTTGTCGCTGAGCTCTTCGACTTTGCTGCTCGCTGTCGTCTAGACTTCGCTGCTAGTCTTGTTGCTGAGTCTGCGTCTGTCTGTCCTCCGTCCGTCGGGGGTGAGTGTGCTCTTGGCACGGACGTCCTAGAGGACAGGCAGGAGGAGTTACAGTGTCTGGCTGCTGCTTCACCTCATCTCGCGTCTGTACTGCTTGCTCCTGAGGGAGACCCGGATGCACTAGACATCCCGACTCCGCGCTCTTACGCGGAGGCCGTAGAGGGTCCCTACTCGTCTCAGTGGCAGGCAGCTATGGATGCAGAGATGGCTTCCTGGAAGTCCACAGGCACCTACGTTGACGCGGTTCCCCCTCGTGGGGCGAACATCGTCAGTGGCATGTGGATCTTCAGGGTGAAGCGGCCGCCGGGCTCTCCGCCTGTCTTCAAGGCGCGGTACGTCGCTCGTGGCTTCAGTCAGCGGCAGGGAGTTGACTACTTTCAGACCTTCTCTCCCACCCCGAAGATGACCACTCTTCGGGTGCTGCTGCACATAGCCGCTCAGCGCGACTACGAGCTTCACTCTCTCGACTTCAGCACTGCGTTCTTGCAGGGTAGCCTGCACGAGGAGATCTGGCTTCGCCGTCCACCTGGCTTCACTGGGACTTTCCCTCCTGGCACCCAGTGGAGCCTCCGACGGCCAGTCTACGGTCTCCGCCAGGCACCGCGTGAGTGGCACGACACACTGAGGACTACGCTTGCGGCTCTTGGGTTTGCTCCCTCTACTGCAAACCCGTCGCTGTTTCTTCGCACCGACACTTCACTGCCGCCGTTCTACATCCTCGTGTACGTCGACGACTTGGTCTTTGCCAGCGGACACTGCTGGACTCGCCTACGTGAAGTCCGAGCTGCTGAAGAGACACACGTGCACAGACCTGGGTGAACTGCGCAGCTACCTTGGCTTGCAGATCACTCGGGACAGAGCACGCCGCACCATTACCTTGACTCAGTCACACATGGTGCAGCAGGTCCTTCAGCGCTTCGGCTTCACGTACTCCTCGCCTCAGGCCACTCCTCTGTCTACCCGCCACTCGCTCTCAGCTCTGCCTTCGGATGAGTCCGTAGAGTCGAGTGGCCCGTACCCAGAGCTTGTTGGCTGCCTCATGTACCTGATGACCTGCACACGACCTGACCTTGCATACCCTCTGAGCATTCTTGCACGCTATGTTGCTCCTGGGAGACACCGACGAGAGCACATGGCTGCAGCGAAGAGGGTATTGCGCTACCTGTGCAGTACGTCGGGCATGGGGCTAGTGCTTGGAGGGCGCAGTCCAGTGGTCCTTACAGGTCACGCGGACGCTTCTTGGGCTGACGACCAGGCTACGCAGCGGTCGTCACAGGGTTACACCTTCAGCCTTGGTTCCGGCTCTGTCTCGTGGCGGGCTACTCGTTCGTCTTCGGTTCTCAGCTCCAGTTGTGAGGCTGAGATCTACGCAGGGGCCATGGCTGCACAGGAGCTTCGCTGGCTCACCTACCTGCTGACTGACCTTGGAGAGCCGCCTCGTTCTCCTCCAGTGCTGTACGTAGACAACAAGGCCATGCTGGCCTTGTGTCGAGAGCAGCGTCTGGAGCACAGAACGAAGCACATTGCTCTTCGCTACTTCCTTGCTCGTGAGCTACAGCAGCGTGGACAGTTGCGGCTTGCGTACGTGGCCTCTGAGGCCAACACTGCTGATGTGTTCACCAAGGCACTCGCGCCTTGTGACCATCAGCGCTTCTGCACCCAGCTGGGTCTTGTGCCTGTCTTGCCTCACTTGCTCTCCTCTTGACTTTACTTGTACTGTGACATATATATACCTGCTCTTGCTTGTCTAGCTTTATATATATGTCCATACTCTTGCATGTGAACTGGCCTTTGGCCTTGCTCTTGTGCTCGGACTGTGTGGTGACTTTGTGATCCACCCTGAGCTTTGCTTTGCTTTGCTTGACTGGTCTTGTGACCCCTTGTTCTCCCCCACTTTGCCTATGGGGGTGTGTCAGAACATATATATAGCTCATACTATTGTGTAGGCTGTAGTGGGGTATCCCATAGGGGGTACAACCCAGTTAGGGTTTCCTATTTGTACTCACTTCATTCATAGTTCATTCATTCTCGTTCTATTCTCAACAAAAAGCGCAGGTGCGCTTATAATAAAACAGTGTTTTTTGGGGGGGTGCGCTTCTAATTGAGGTGTCTGTTATATGCGCATGCGCCTATAATAAGGAAAAAATGAAATTCACTTTTAGACATACTAAACTGAAGCCCGCAATAAGGCGAATCAAACGGACCATGGAACAAGTGGGATCGTGCATGGTTTTCAGGCAAAAACAGCTGCGGTTCGGTTTCCCACCGCACAAAGTTGTCTAGAACCATCGAACGTGACAGGAGTGACGAGGATGTTGCCGTGCGGCCCAATCACAGCCGCATGCGCTGCGTGGCATTTGCATTTCTTCCGAACCCTCTCGAAGGGTGGGGAAGATTCCCTGCCAGCGCTGCGAATATGCTGCCACGCAGGTTCCTCTACGGGGGTAGGCGGGGGTTTCCTGCCTGTCATTGACGAGGACCCCGAGCCGCTAGCCCGCAGGGGTCCCCGTCGTTGCCCAATTCTGCACCCTCCTACTCATTTTTTTCATTCAGTTTCTAGTCTAGCCCGCCTGGCTGGCAAAGCCATGGCGGAATTCAGTGGGACGCACCTCCTTTTCAAGAAGAAACCAACCCGCGCCTGGCGACTAACCTCGGACGGGTGGTATACACGTGAGCCACCAGCGCCTCCAGTGCCACCTACACCCCCTGCACCGCCTGCTCCGCCTGCTCCTCCTGCACCTCCTGCTCCTCCTGCTCCTCCCGCTCCTCCGAATCCTCCGACTCCTCCTGTTCCTGACGCGTGGGGTCACCATCGGCCCGTGCTCCAGTTATATTTGCCTGCCACTTTCGACGAGTGGTTGTCTGAACCGGACACACCCAAGGCTAGGCAAATCAATGGTCCGCCGACTGCACCTCGGTGGGGAAATCCTGAAGCCTGCACGTGGGACGAGTCGGCTGTGGGCGCCGACGATGACGTGGCCGCCGATAAACAACCTACATGCGACGGCGATGCTGGAGGCGACAGTGGAGTCGACGGTGAAGAGGGCGCCGAGGAGGACATTTTCCAAGATCGTAAACCTACAGACGCGGACGACGACGGTGTGGAGTCTTGGTGGCGCGACGCACCACGCGAGAAGATGCCGATACCAACGTATCCGTCGATTAACAAAAAACGACCCCACCCCTCCTCTGAGAACCGAGATGCCCGCCCCCCCTCTCCCAGGCACAAGCCGACTCAACACAAACGGCAGCGCTACACCGCCCAGGAGAAACTGAAGTGGCTTGTTCGGCTGGAGCTTGCTGCATCGGTAAGCGAGGTCGCGCGGGAGTCCGGCATACACCGCAAATGCCTCACAGAGTGGAAAAACCAAGCGGAGGAGCTCAAGGCTGCACACAGGGCTCGGTGTCGACTTCATGGGCGTGGAAGGTCTTCCTGGTATAGACCCATGGAGATGAAGGTGTACGCCCAACTCCTGGACTGGCGACGCCGCGGTGTGGCAGTATCAGTCGGCCGGCTGCAAGAGTGGTCAAAAGAGGTGATGAAGGTGTTGTTCCCGGACGTCAAGTGGAAGGCGAGTAAGCGCTGGACGGAGCGGTTCCGCAAGCGGTGGAATCTCACCGTGCGCATGAAAACAAAGGTGGCGCAAAAGAAACAGCAGCGTAAGTGCCTGTCCGTGCACTGTCATCCTATCGTGAAATTTTATCTTGCATTTCAGTACTTTCTTGCCCATGTTTGTTTATCTGTAGCGGTGCTCATCCGCCCTTGTAACCGTTCCTCCCTCCCCGTGCGCAGACGTGGCCAAGCAGTGCAAGGAATTTTGGCAGTTTGTCCGCGACGCACGCCACGACTACGACATCGACAATCGTTACATCATCAATGGCGACCAGACGCCTTTGTGGCTGGAGATGCCGGCGACTACCACGGTGGAGCAGACGGGCGTGAAGTCGGTGCCCATCCGCAGTGGTGGTTACCAGAAAGAGAGAGTCACTGTGATGCTGGCGTGCACGGCGACGGACGAGAAGTCGAAGCCGTGGGTGTTTTTCAAGCGCAAGCCCCTCCCAAAGGGTGACTTTCCGAACGGTAAGAAACTGCGTATGCGCTTGTTTGCGAGGGGAAAAACAAAAGTAAAATCTAACCACCGCTTGCTTGTATGCAGATGTCGTGGTCGGTTGCCAAGCTAACGGGTGGATGGAGGCCTTGGGCGTAATCGAGTGGCTCGGTGCAGGCGTGGTGCCGTTCCTGAAACCGAAGTTCGGATTGCAGAGCCGGAGCGCCATGCTAGTGCTCGACTCCTATCGTGGACACCTGACACCCGAAGTCAAGGCGAAGTTCGCGGAACTCAACATCGTGCCGGCGTTCATCCCAGCGGGATGCACGGCAGACTTGCAGCCGCTCGATGTGTCGGTCAACAAAAGCTTCAAGGCGAGTGTTCGGCAGCAGTACCAGACCTGGTTCGAGCAGGACAGCATGAACATCCTGACACCCGCAGGTACGCAAAAATGTTCTCCCGTGACCGCTTCGTCTGTATGTCTGCGTACTTGTGGACCCACGTGTTTCCCACCCCCGTGTATGTGGTGCAGTGCAGGGAACATTAAGAAACCATCTCCGGAGGTGGTGCTCAAGTGGATTTCACGGGCGTGGAAAGCTGTGCCCGGCGACCTGATTAAGAGAGCGTTCCTCACCTGCGGCATCAGCAATGCCCTTGACGGGAGTGAAGACGGACTGGTGCTGGCGCACCGGAGAGGTCAGCTATCCCACGAGGTAGAGGTTGATGACGACATCCAAGCAGACGGGTTCTTTGGCAACAACTCCACGGAGCCTGAGTCGGATGAGGAGTAGGCCTTAGGCTATGTTGGAAATATATTTGTGTGTTATTTATCTTGCAGTGCACTGTTCGAAGTGCAGAAGCGAAGCCCTCAATATCGGGAGTGTTGACTCAAGTATCGAACTGCAGGGGCGCAACCGCGTACAGTGGTTGCGACCCGCGTGGCAGCCGAAGGGTCGAATTGAGCAAGAGGCAGCGTCTACAGTACGCGAAACCACCCTGGAGGCGCGGCAGAATACCGCGCCCTTGCCGAAGCTGAAAGGTCTCGCCAGTAACTGGGCAACTGAAACGTTACAGCGCAACTGTAATACAGTTGCGCCTTGGTAACTGCCTCCCTGCTATGTTTCCTATATAACTCAATGTACTGCCATGCTATCATTACACAATTCTCAAGCTTGTGTCCGGCCTACCCTCGGCCGCCGCTTTGGCACCAAGTTACAAGCCAGGAGAGCTACCTCTGAGTGACCATAGCCCCGCCGCTGGGACGTCGTTATTTCCTAGAGTATTTCCGCTACTCTAGCGACCTCCTAATTTCAACAGGCTAGACTAAACTTTAAAATGTTGTGTAGGCTATGATGCTAGTCTAATGTATTTGACTGGAAAGTTTTAGTTGAATTTTTTAGCTAGAGTAATGTAGTTTGTGTTGGAAACAATAAGTCCTAAGTGCGCTTCTGTCGTATCAAAACCCAAGGCACCAAGCGAAGCAGTCCCAATCGGAGCATCGAGTCAACCTCGGAGGTTAGGGTAACCGCCTGGAGGTTACGAGAAAGTCAAAGGTCGCTGACCTTTGACTCGACAATTACAGCGCGACAGTTAAGGACACACAACTGACTCGCTACAGAGCAGTTGCCCGAGTCGCACTGTATCGAACCGCAACAGCAATACAGTTATCTACATATCTATTCGTATTCCCTGTACTCTTATATAAATCCTTGTATTTGCTTGTTTAATTCAATCAACTTTGCTCTCACACACCAGTGCAAGGTCGGTTCAAATTCTTCACTAAACGCTTCCGCTATTACAACTACTTCACCTAAAGTTATCCCTTGCAAAGATCCTAAGGGGCTATCTCAGCCCAACATGGTATGAGAGCTGACAAGGGAAACTCTACTCCTTTTTTCAAGATCATTACAAGACATGGCAACAAACAAGGAAAGGAGCTCCCCTAATGGCTCCTCGGGCACTACTCCTACTCCACCGCCAGCCTCTGGCCTGCAGACAGAAGAAGGCACGGCAACAAGACCAAGAGGAACGTCAACCGAAACCCCCATGAACCACCCTTCGGACTTTGACCAGAACATGATGGAGAAATTTTTCTCCTTCATGTCCTTCTACGAACAACACCAGCAGTCGGGACCTGCACAAACACACAACAGCAACAATGGAGCGACACCCATGAGTCTTGATGGGTCGTCATATGCGCGAGGAAACCAGCAGCAGCAACCTACCTTTGCTCCGTACGAGCGCGGGTCAATCAGCTTCGTGCCCCACCCGCAACCTTCACCTGGACAAGAAAGACCACTGGACGCACTTCAAGTTCAGTCGCAGTTTGCACACGTCTTAAAACTGCAAACGTCAAGACCCTTCGACGGCAAAGAATTCTTTACCTGGTCCTTTGAATTCGAGCTGATGATGGAGGGCGCGCAGATACTCGGCTTCTTCGACGGTTCCCTGCAGTATCCAGCCAACGGGACACAATATGAAAAGCAGCAGTATACGTATCAATCAATGATGGCGTATACAATCCTATTGAGGAACGTGACACCAACTCAGCAGCAGAACATTCGCTCTTACCGGACCTTCGGCAACTCGGCGGAGCTCGCGTACAGCCATCTGAAGAACCTGTATCAAGCAACAGACAGTGTAAACCAGAGCAGAT